CGTATCCAGGAATACTTGCAAGCCTCATAGCGTGGAGGAAGAGCATAAAGAAATATTAAAGTCATTTTTTCTCGCATATCCATCATCGACGTAAGCTCCTCATCACTGCGTAGTGGAGGATCCTCGTTGAGACACACGGTTAATGCCTTGCGTGCCGCCGTATACCCAATATTCTCTAAGAGAATAGTAGCCAACAAAACCAACAAAAAAGGACTCACATTACAAAACCAATAACAAACTAATTTCGATAATGTTTTGCGTTCTCCAATAAAATGATTTGTGTAGAAACATGTGTATAAGGTAAAATAAAGAAGAACATAACAGCCTACAAACTTGCCCGAGACAGAGTATGTTGATAGCACAGCCATCCAACGCATTCTCCATCGCCCAAACCACCATACCCAGTAGCGGTGTTCATTCCAGCGAGGAGATGCACTCAATTCAAAATCCCCAAGATGAATTTTTGGCTGCTCTTCTGCAGATATCACGTACACCACGTAAACATTTGTCAAGTTAAATGGTACTGTAGAAAATGGGCGCCAGCTATAATTGAATGTGTGTCGTTCTTCCTCATATGGTCCAAAGAAGTACTGTTGCTGAGCCTCCGGTTCGTCCGGCGCCAGTCCCCCCGTGCCCCGAAATGCAATGCGAAACGAGCGGAAGGAACCACACAAGAGATGGGGGAAAACAGCTCTGTTATTGACATGAACAACCATTTCTGTCTCCAAGGAAACGCTGCAGATATTACGAACAAGAGCAAATCTCCCATGCTTTTCCACGGAGACACGTTCTTCTCCCTTAAAAGAGAAAAGATCATCATTTCGGGACGTATCATTTGACGTCCTCTGGCTTGATGGGTCAATCCTGTCGTGCTGAACAAAGGAAAAGTGCTTTTCAGACAGTTTCGCACGATCTACAAAAAAACAAAACTGCGGACGCACCCACTCCGGTGACTCTACACGACTTTTCTGCAGCACTTGAAAACTGATAGCTGTTAGTACCACCTCTCCAATTTTAGCAACACTGTCCTTCCGACGCGTGGGAAGGTGAAGTTTCGTCGCGGCACGTGCGCTAACATTCGCGAATGAAACTTTTCCCTTCTCCCCCGTATAAATAAAACGCAGCTCAGGAAAATAAACGTCTTCTGGAGGGTATGTTGTGGCCCCAATAAAAATTTGCAGCGCTTCCCACGACTCCGTGTCATCATCCTCTTCTGTAGGGATGTCCTGTAAATTCAATACATCATTACTTTGCACACAAATCTTCTTCATTTTGTTAAAAACATAAGATGTATTTCCCATACGATAAAATGTTTCATCGCTCCCTGCTTTTTTTACTTCACCCAGGGAAAGCAGAAATAAAAACTCATCATTGCGGTACGCATCAAGTGACTCGGGAAGAGTTTCCACCACCGTAGGGAATAGTCGATCTCTCGTGGAGGAAAAATTGGATTCAACGCCCAAAAAAACACTTGACTCCGAAGATAACGAAGCCCGTACCAAAGAATAAGCCCCAACATCCAACAGTTGAAGTGCAAACACAAGACCTCGATGACTAAGTGACACGCCACACCCACGTAGCTCCTCCGTGCATACATCTCGCCGTGCCGCATGAATATGAGCCAACTTCAGCATCCTTTGATGATCTTCCGAAGATGCACGGCGCCCTACGGAGCGCAATAAAAAAGAGCTCTGCGGTGGGACGATGTCTTCCAACGCACCCCCGTTTATGGTAACCATACTAATACGACTCACTCGAGCCGCTACTTCGTGCGAAGGAACTTCACTTAACTTCCAGAGAAGTTGGACAGGATCGGTGATGTTAAGGCTTTTGTTCCAGTCGTATGTAGAGGTAAAATTATATGCATAGGGGATAAGCGCCGCATCATGTACAAGCCGGTGAAACTTCACACATCCGGCGTCAAAAAGGAACGGTGGATAACGTACTGGCGGTCCAGCCATTGCCAATCCGGCGTATAACGTTGGATTTAAAATTGCTGCAAAGAGACCCACTTGGCCTCCTACCGATTCGGTCCAAATCCAAATACCTTCTTTTTGTATGCGTTCCACTTCTCGCCGTATCCGCTCCGTAGAAGAGAAACGACGAATCTGTTCTTTAGCTACATAACACACTCTATTCGACCCTTTTCGTTCATAACTTTGATGACTACACAAACTGTTCAGGTACTCGGACTCTGCAGCTGTCACGCTATTTGGGATTGGTGTTTGTTCACTGTCCTCCCTCCTCAAAGAGCCTGGAGCACGCATAAGCACCTCTCGGTAGTGATCCAGAAGGCTTTGCAAAAGAAAATGAACGCAGTAATTCAAAAAACGAGCCTCCTTCGCCATCAACAAACCACTTTGAGTATTCGACTCTTCTAAAAAGTCTACACCAAAAAGTTCTACCCCCAGAAGTGGTGTCCTTGCGATCACCATTTCCTCAGCCCGCCGTTGCAAATCCCTGGGAATTTCCTCCTCATCGGCAGGCATCTTCAACCCCTCACGCCTGTATAAACCAAATAACGCACGTTTCACTTCTTCTTGTGAACGAGCTGCGTTTTGATAGCGTTGCTTCAAAATCGACTCCCCAACAAATCGCCCAAGGGATCGCATGTCTCGGAAACAACCGGCATTACCGTGAACATAAACAGCAGGCACAGCAGGAAAACCGGGACGTTTTGGATCTCTATATCTATCCGCTTCAAAGTCATAATATCTCCACAGTTTGTAATATTCCTCAGTCGCAGGCTTTACGCTAACCTCTACAAAATGAGGATGCATCCTTGTGAGAATTGCCTGTAGACTGGTGCGACGTTGCATGCGAGCCCAATCGTATGCGGCAGGGGCAAAAATAGAGGTCATAGTAAAGAACATAACAAACACGAGAAATTTCGTGCCTGAAAACGTACACGGACATCTTGCCATTGCCCTATTTCCCTCCTTCCTATTATCCTCACCTTTTTATCCTTTGATTGGATCTTTATTCCTATTTTACAGTCTTCGTTTAAATTAAACAAATTGAAATCTTGCCTCTACTCTGCACGTAGAGAACAAAAAAAAAAGTTTCGCACACACACACACTAATAATAATAATAATAAACAAAAATAAGAAAAAAAAGGTCCATTTTGCATACAAGAAGTTTAAGCATGGTGTATACATACACATAAAGACCCTTATGCTCTCCTTCTTTCGTTTTGTCTCTCTCTATTTCTTTCCCACCGCGGTGGCTGTCACGGACATTCATTTCGCTCTTACTCCAACCCGTCCGCCCAATCTCCCCGGGGAGTTCAAACAGAGAGAGAGAGACACGGAGAGAGAGGGTGGGAAAAAAGCAAAAACAACAACAAAAACAAAATATATAAATATATGAGCACATTCCCATGACTCATAGACAGTTATAGACTATCTCTGGAGCGGCCCGAAGCGGATGCAATGTACACTTTTCCACCCGTCTTCTGCGCCTCCTCCTCAAGAATTCTCGTCTGACGCCACTTCAAAAATATCAATGCCGTAACGGTAATAATCTCCTCGTCCACCATAAAAAACATTATCCACAAGGAGAACCAAATCACCCAATACCGTAGCAGCGTATCCTTCACACGATCCCAAAATTCCATGGGCGGCGCTGGCTTTTGAATCCGACACTCCAATCTCAGATCCTTCTCCGAAACGGACATGGCAAAATCACCATCTTCAGAAAAACTAGAGATCGGCTCGGGCCCTGGGAACACAATAATTTTTTTCCAAAGCTTTCCCGAGTCTTCCTCGCGCATTTCGAAATTGCCATGCTCCTTTACGACAGGGATATCAAGCACCCGATGTACGTCTGCCTCTGTTTTGATATCATCTAGTGACAGTCCAAGTACAAACCACTGCCTCCCTGATGTTGGCGCAAAACGCATTCGGCCAAACAAACGCCGCTCTAAAAGAAGAAGATCGCCAAGCAATTTGTCCGACTCTGAAGTGGAGGTGCGTGATTCATAAAGTGTATTGTGAACAGTGCGGGTGATCGACGTATCGCGACGGACATCAAAGTTGTAGTGGTGTAGCACAAACCTCACGCTTTCACCCTTAAGAACACTGGTCCTGGAAGACCGTTGATAATACCCAGCAGCCATTATTGCTTCGTGCAACTGTAACCGCTGGAACGGATCGGTTACAAGAGGTTTATAAAGCTCAGCGCGATATGACGTGATGCACTCTTCCAATACTCGATCCAACTCCCGTTGCTTGTGAAAATTCGATATGTCAGCTAACAAATCAAACGCGGTCTCAAGCGGTGCCCTCCCAATCAGTGGCTCAGCCTCCATCACTGCCTTCTTGGCCGTCTCAAGATGTTCCCCGCTGACGAGCTGCGGCGCCTTCACGCTGTTAACAGGAACAAGCGCGGTAAATAAATGTACATGACAGAGAGGTGTTCGCCGCAGCATCCCTCCCTGTTTCTTTCCTTTCAATTGCCCTTCCAGCTTACGTCCCTCCCTCCTTTTTTTTTTTTTTTGGTTGTTGTTTGTTTCATGAGAACAGAAAGAAGTGGGTGTGGAGGCTATAGGGAAAAGAATAACAAGCAAGTCTCTGTTTGAGAGATGGCAAGAGATTGAAGGAAGGCTTCGCTAGCCTCGGGCATCGTCCATTCATCGAGCAGGAAGTCCTTCCTCATATAATATTCTTCGTTTCATTTCGGACGGTCACATCCCGTCGCACCGCACCTGTTTCTTGGCGCTCACTCCCTCGTGTCTCCCTCCTCCTCCTCGTTTCCCTCTTTTCTCTCGCACCTCTCGCGGTGGATAGAGCCGGGAAAAGAGAAAATATATCGCCGTTCGTGAGAGAAATCAGCAACGACAAAAAAGGGAGAAACACATATATTTGTATACATACATAAATAAGAAAATGGCCCATCAAAAAAAAAAAGTCCTAACACAAAGAACCACAAACACACACACACACACAAACAAACAAACAAACACACGAGCCAAGCCCAACGTCACAACTTCTCCTCGGTGTCAGTCCAAAGCAAAGAGGTAGCGGTTGTGAAACGCCACTCCAAATAGCCTCTCGGAACTCTTTGCAAAGCTGTATTCAACACGCCCTTCTTCTAGTTCCGGGTTATTGGTTTTGACTCCTGCTTCATCCTTCACCGTCTGGGGCGGAGACGCAGCCCCGGAATTCACTGCCTTTAACATTTTGTTGCTCTCGCTCGGCAGCGGCCTCTGTTCAAGTCCCAACTTGTCACGAATGTAGCGACTAATGGCATCGATCATGGAATCAGGAAATTTCTCGAGCATCTCATCAATGGAATCCCCCATGCGGGTTTTGTTTTCTAACCGCTGCAGCATGGCACGGAGTTGCTCCGGAGGGAGTTTTTCCAACTCCTCTTTTAGACTAGGAGGCATCATTCCTTCTTGAACAGCTACCAAATTTTCCACATAGCTTTTCCGCTCCCTCATGACATGTTCATCCTCTTCTCGCATCCGTTCCATGCGTATCCTGTGCTCTTCAAGTTCCTTTTCACGTTTCTCACGTGCCAGACGGTTTTCTTCCTCCTCAATTTCGGTCACGTCACGGTCGGCCTTCGTGGCAGGCTCGCTCGTCTCGTCCGGAAGTTTCACTAATAGTTGCATTTTAAGCATATGCGTCTTTCGAACAAACTTGGCGTTGGGTGCATCCTCGTCTATGGGGTAATCGAGCGGAATGCTCAAAAAGGGTGCACCATCTTCTGCGTCAACATAGCTGATCTCTATAGACCGGGGGGTAATTCGCACCTCCACCTCTGCAATTGACGTCACCGTCGGAATACAGACCTCTACGGCATAAGTGGCAGGAATATTTTCCCGAAAGTAGGGGTTAAGCACCGGCTTAGCATGCCGTGACCAATCGTAAATTCCCTCACCCTGCAACTTCACTAAGGAAGGGACAATTCTTTCCTCTTTTGAAGCTGCACTGGACGCCGCTGCTGCTGCTGCAGTTGTTGTTGTCGACGTCGCTGGAACCGCAGCTTGAGGAGAAGGAACAGCATCCGAGGCAATGGCGGGATTCGTCACCTCTTGTATGAGTTTTCCTGTGCCACTGCGGCCGCCTACCTTTGTTGGGGGCAATGCCGCGCTATTGTCCTTGGGAAGGCGAATCTCATCCCCCATGGCATTTGCCCCTTTGGGTGCGGTTGATAACCGAATCCGTTGCGGTTCTAAATCCCCCTTCACTTTAAAGTTCATGCCTCTGTACTCTTCATGATTCAGCGTGGGCTCACACTTCTGCTTGATCCAGTGGATACACAGTGAGACCACAAAGCAGCGGAATTCATGATCCTTGGAACACCGTTGAACAGTCGACGGATTCACAATGACATCGTACACTTTGCACGGCTTTCCGCTCTTGTCTGTACCCGGACGCGCCTGGCCACAACTCAGTGGAATCTTAAACTTTATCTCATCCGTCTTTTCATCTTCCTCCATTGGAATGGGTTCGGCAATACGCTCATGCTGGCATACATTGAGAAAGATCTTTCCACCTCCAGACGTGGTGCATTTGACGCAGAACCCCGGCTCTGGCAGGACATACATCCACTGACCGTTCTCATCGCTCTGAATTTCCTCCAGTTTACTCTTCATGGCGTTTCGGCTTTCCTCCTGAATCCTCATCTGGATTTCACGCAGCCACTTCTCTCGTCGCGGATCGCCCTCGGGGGGCATATCCCGAATATTTTCTTCGCCCCCCAGAGCTCGCTGGAAGAGCTCCATGAACTGCGGGTTCTTAAAGAGCGCTTCCCCTGCACTCTGCGCATCGGCCATCTAAAAGTGTGCTTGATCACCATTAGCGTCGTACATACAAGAAGAATCGCCATTGAAGCAAGAAATAAAAATAAAGCAGAAGGAAGTCAAAAAAAAGAAGAAAAAAAACGCGTTACGCCATCAGACCCACTTCCTTCCTGGAAGGGACGGCTGGAAAAAAAAAAACAGGAAGATCTCGCAATAACAATGACAAGAGCGAAAAAATGATATCAGACGCGTACAAAATTCCTTCGACAAAATCACGATTCAAACGCAAAAGTACACGCAAAAAAAAAAAAAATCGTAAAAAACTGCACCAACGGCTTGTCCCCCCTACCGGACACCTTCTAAGATCGCATGTAAATCCTTATTCACGCACTTGCCCAACATGCATCAATGTCAATCGAACAACAAGGGAGAAATCTCCCTCGTTTTAATTAATCGTTGGAAAGTTATAAGTTTCACGGAGATCTACAGGGTTCGGCATCCCATAGAAGGGCTTCTTGTTCTGCAGCACGGCGGACTCCGGGAATGCCAGAAGTTCCCGAAAGAAATGATCCACCGTGGGCGCAACGTAATGAGGCGTTTTGGTGACATGCTCTTCCAACCACTCAAGCTCTACATCATTCTCTGAAAGCGTACGCCGCGCGGCGGGGGCAAGACCGATGCCTGAAAGAACATGAACTGAAGTCCAGCGACCACCCCGCGCATTGGCACCAAGAATATCTGTTTCAAGATTATCACCCACCATGAAAATTGCACGGAGAGCCTTCGGATCCCAACCCAACTTCGCGCTCACCTCCTCCATTCGACGTTCTGCAAATGCGTAGGCTATCGTGCGCGGTTTTCCAAATGTGGTCACTTGTAGTCCATTTCCCGTAACACTCTCAAACACGGCAGATAACATTTCACGGAAGGCTCCTTGACCAAGTCGTGGTAGTGGGGCCTCCGTCGCCCACAACAAGTCGTCCGCTGAGAGAAAATAAGGCACACTCTGTGTGCTTGATATATAGCGTCCAACTTGTCCCCGTGGTGACAGCAGAACATCGAGCATGATCTGCACGTCACTAAAAACATCTTCTGGGTCGGTGAACTCAAAGATGGCCGCTATTTCCGGAAAGGCAACGCTACAAGGTTCACACTTCTTTAGATCACCCCATTTTTTATACGGCAACAACTCTGGATGTTCCGCCTGAAATTGAAGGACGGAGATGGCATGATCGAAGCCGTACATCTTCGCCACCTCTGCAGAGTGCGGATTGCCCACAACCAATACATTTTGATTCTTATACATGGGTGCAAGCAGCTGCATTGGAGTATGGGCCAGAAGAATTTGTGATGAATCAATTTCACATCCAACAAGCTGTGATAATTCCCTCGCCTTCTCTTCTTCCGATATCCCACCGCCATTCGTCATGAAAAGCAACGGAATACGCAACTCCGTCATCTTACGAATTGCGGTGTCTGAGCCTTCAATGAGTTTATGTGATCGGTAAACCACGCCGTCAATGTCGAGAACAATGCCAGCAGATCCATGCAAGGGCCACTGTGCCTGACCGCCACGGGGTTCAACGTAAGACTCATATCTGTATGGCAACTTTTGATGCAAATCTGCTCGCAACATCTCCCGCACCTCTGGAGAGTAACTCGCGTTATTTGCCGCAACACCTGATGACTGCAACATCATTTCATACTCGCCTAGTGCCGCCATCTGACTGCGTTCAAAATAAACAACTGGATTTGCCCCGTACGGAAGGAAGTTTCGTCGTTGATTCAAAACCAACTCATTGTGTGCATGAATTGCCTTGATGCGGTGCAATTCTGCGGGCGATGGCGCTTCCTCAACGGATTTTTTCTCCACCTCTTCATGACGTTCTTTTTCTTTTCGGTGCGTTTGAATTGGATTCGTACTTTGCATTAGACCCGAAAAAAATTCGTCCGCGGACTTGCCATCAAGCTCCCACGGGGGCACAAAACGTCGACGCAGTACTTCTGTGGGACGAATAAATCCCTTTGTCGCCAGTCGCTGCATCGCGACGACTCCTCCCACCACCCCACCTGCCCAATAATCTCCTATCCTTAAAATTTACTCTTCAAATTTGTCAATCTATGTCTCTTTGTCATTGCGAGTGATTGATTATTGCACACATGCGTGCATATGTGTGTGTGAAAGTGAGAAAAACACATGGATAGAAGCAACAAAAAACAACGTGATGAAAAGAGAAAAAAAAACTCACTTTTTTGTTATTGCCCTCTCCAGCCCCTCATTTTTTTGTGTGTGTCTATTTGTTTGCCCGATACAACAAAAACACTGTTGGCATCACGGGTTCCTCTCCCTTTCCACACACACACACACACACACAGAGGGAGAGGGAGAGAGACAGGCAGACAGAAAGGTTCCTTTTGATTTTGGGTGCTGAAGTTAAGGCAGTTGCGTTACATCTTCCTTTCGTGTTGTCTCCCGCCACGCACCTGTTTTACTTTGTATGCGTTGCCACTCACGGCCAAGGCGTGGTCGTATTTTCCGTTCATTTGCCGGACAAGTTCCGTCGACGGCAACTTTGCCTTCTCCTCAATCGCCTCCTTTACTGTAATCATCGCCTCCTCCACGGCACTGAGGAGAAGGACAAGTATTAAGAAAACCGCAAAACACACGTAGTTCGCCAGACTCATGTATTTTACCGTCTCCACAAAAGATACGAGCCGGATAGTATCAAAAAAAAAATTCGACGACGGTGGCAGTGACGCCAAGAAGCCCTCAGGAAGAAATGCCAAGATGGCAGAGACGAGACTGCCCCAACAGGTAAACAAAAATACCGCCAGGACAATCACACCGGCAATAAGGCCGCCAGCGATGGCCACAATACTCGCCGCCCCAGGCAGCTTCACCATCCTATGTTATTGTAGTAAAATACATGTAAGTCGAATTAGCCAATAAATTAGAAAAAAAAAAAAAGCAAATAATAATAATTTCAATAGATCCAAAGTGCACCAAAGGTCTAGAGCCACACACAGCCAAAAAAAAAAAAATAAATAAAATGTCCGTGTCTCCGATATCCAACTCCATGCACGTAATCCCCGTAACGACACCACATCCGAAGTAGGCATGGTGGTAAGAGAGGACAAAAAAAAAAAAAAAGGAAAAAGTCAAGATTTAATTTTTCAACAAATACAATCCCTTCTTTTTTTTTTCTTTTTTTCTTTTTTTACACAGAATATATATATATATATATAGGTCCCTCTTTTCAAATAAGACGTTTCGATTTTAGGTGCTGGTGAAAACCCTGAATGTAGTCTTGTGTACGTCGCGCCACTTCACGTTCCTCATCGTCCTTCGCCTTGGCCCCTAGCCACTCCGTCATGTCGGTTCCTCTTGCCTGACCCTGCAACATGCCGCGCTGCAACTCCACTCTGCGAACTTCGTTTCGTGACTCTGAAACGGCAATGGCACGTCGCTTCCAAAACTGCTCGTGGTACACATTAGCCTCCTGCTCTAGCCGAACAGGATCTTTTCGCCGCAGCACCTCAATGTCACTCAAAAGGTCTCGCGTACGTTGGTCAAGGAGGTTTTCTCCCAGCTGTGCCTGCACAACTGTCTGCAATTTTGATATGCGGTAACGTGCAAGCACTTGGGATCCGACAAAAAGAAATACGATACCGACAAACCACTTATGAAAATCGGTTATGAACCAATACCAAGAGGCTATATGATTCATCGGGTGAATATACACAGCCTTGGTGGTGTTGCTCAACACAACAATGTTTCGGCGTTTGCCCGGGGTACGGGGAGCCCCAAGAGCATCTGTTTCCGCATGCGTCTTCTCCTTCTCCTGAGACGTATTTTCCTCCTCCGACGATGACGCAGCCCCCTCTGCGCCTTGAGCGTAACTGCTCTGCATGCGGAAGGAAGGTGCAAAAGAGTCCACAAGGGCGAGAGCAGCGGCAGTGGTGGTGCGCAAGCCTCGGCCGAAAAACACACAGCGTCTCATTGATGCTTTGCTAACAAAACAGAAGTAACAGTAGACCACACGCACAACAATTTTAATTTCTCTTGCCGAATGCCAACAGAAACAACAACAACAACAACAAAAAGAAAACGGATTAATAGAATGATGCACGCATGCAGATATATGCGAATTCAACACAAATAATCAAAACTAGAACGAAACACAAATATTCAATTGGTCCTATTGCAGATCTGCAAAGCCGTTGCAAATATATACATACATGAAACCGCAAAGGAGTAACCGTAGGGGAAAAAACGCCCAGCTCCCATGCGAAAATACAACAACAACAAAAAAAAAATACCTCAAGAAATGGACGCAAATTCACCGATCATACATAATATAACATAAGAAAAAACAAAAAGAAAAACAAATCCAAAAACAATAATTTTTTTAAAAAAGCATATAGACAAAATGTACATATCACTACACCACGCTCTTCCTCTCCACTTTTTCACTGTTTTCCCTTGTCAATATGCCACAGACACAGTCACAACATTATAATGGGCATGAAGAGTGTGTTTCAAGAGAGGAGAAAATTACACAAATAATTCCACACCGTTACTCCCTTTATCTCCCCAAATCTTTCTCTTCTTTCTGTTTTTCCTCGTGTCATAGATCAGCCGTGCGCATGCGGCACAATACAACACACATTCAATGCGTAAAGTGCTCCCCATCATGATCATCAAAATAAAATCCTTTCACCCCCCTTCTTTATTATTATTATTTTCTCTTTTCATTTTCCACAGACCCCACGTAGCCCAAAATAGCATGACCCATTATTTTTATACCCCCAATAAATGCCGTTTGGATCGCCCGCTGCCTGGTGGTTTGGAATCACCTCGCATATGCGCAATGGTCGCGCGTAATTCCTGCAACTCCTCCTCCTTCTCACGCATTTTTCTCCTCAAGGAGTCGATGCCTTCCTCCGGGGAAAACCGGTGCGTGTACAACCTCTCCAACTCGTAATAATTGCACTCCTCCAAACGACACATAATATCTTCATCTGATATGGCTGGATCATGACGAAGGTCAAAAGAGGCATACAGACACGTCGCCTCATCATGGTATGTAAGATTTAAAACGTACTCCTCTGGTAGATGGCACGCGGCAGCAATACCGTGCACAAGTGCCTTTTCAAGCGCCTCAGGAGTCTCTGCGATAACCCGATCCCAACCGGAACCATCAAATTTCTTCCAGTGCCACGTGGTGTGGTGGGAATCCGTGATGCGGGGGCGCCACCGTTCATCGTGAATGAGGGCATCTTCCAAGGCATTAGCAGCAGTTTTCAGACAGGACTCCAACATTTTGGCGTCAGCAGCCTGCGCATCGCGTTCCTCCTGCATAGCCACACAGGAAGCTTTAATCTCGGCAATATACTCTCGAAGAGAGTGGAATGGGGCTTCTTTGTTCTCTATTCCCTCTGCCTCCAGCAGTTCATCCAACTGCCCATCGTATGTCGCAATGACACCCTGCAGTCTCGCAATCTCCTCCCGCAAACCGAGTTCCTCATTATCGGAACCACTCTTAATATATCCATTGGGGGTTGAACGCACAGACCCCGATATTGCCGCAATTTCATCTTGTAGTTTTTGAGCCGTTTTCTCAACTTCCACACGCTCCTGCATCTCCCGATCCAGCTCGGATCTCAGCACGGCATTTTCCTCCTCCAATGAATGGTTTTTCCTCTGTTCCTGCATAAGCATCTCGTGAATCAAATCGCGATCACGAACGGCCTCAACAAGACGATCCTTCAAAATAACAACATTATCTTCTTCCAATTCCCTCGATTCCACGGTGGCTTCCAAATTAGATATTCCTCTTGCCAGAGTGCTACTGCGAACAGGAAGACGATAGGACGTTGCCCCTTGAGATGACGTCGGATTTCTTGAAAAATGTCTCGGCGATGAGTCCGACGACAATTCAGTGGACATTGAACCACGAAGCGTCTTCAGCGCACGTTTGATCGCCCGTCGCTGCATTTCCTGTTGTTGGTATTCTCTCTCCTCACCATTGTATGCAAGCAAGTCTTCAAGAATCGTTATTGCCTTCACCTGACGCCTCTCACGATTAGAAAGGTCGTCACGCAGCAAATTCATCTCTCGAATGTAATCCTGACGCATGTCCGCAATTACAAGGTCTTTGGACTTTCTCATTTCGAGCAAAAGAAGTGCGGACCATCTCCGCGCCTCATTCGCAGCCAACTGCAATCGGCCAAGTTCCTCGTCACTTTGTAAGCTAACTTGTTGGAGCCGTATCGTGGACACTTCATCCGATATGTATTGAGCGGCTTCCAGTGACTGTCGCTTTGCTTCTTCCTGCATCCGCCATATTTCTTTCTCGTGGTTCATTTGAAGGGTGCGTAATTTGCCTCCCTCCTGTCGGAGCGCTTCTTCTAACTCCCGCACTCGATCTTCAGCGGCCGTAAGCCGCGTAGCATCCCTTTTGCTGTAGCGGTAGGAACTGGCGGCGAAATCGGTAGATCGAAGAAGTATTTTGTGTTGTGCCATGGTGTAGCGAACATGCTTCTCATAAAGCTGCTCCAATTCACGTACCAAAATGCGTTCGCGTTCAATTGACTGCTCATACAGCAATTTCGTCTGGTATACGGCATCACGCGACTGATTATGTCTTCGTTCTGGATAATCGGCTTCACTAAAAGAAGAACCAAATGGCAAACGTCTCTGCTTTCCAGATGCAGCGGAACGGATGCAGGCAAGACGATCTCGATGAATAGTCATGCTGTCAAGGGCAGAAATGGGGGAAGAAGTAGACGCAACAAACTTGCAGAATACAGACGAGCGTACGACAATTGTCGCCTCATCGCCTCGCGAAAAAGAAACTTGGCCAAGGTCTTGAAAGGACTGCAATGCGTAGCGTACATTTTCCTCATCGTATGGGTTACTGGCTGTCCTTGTAAGTTCTTTGGAGTTGGGATGTAGGCGCAGCTCCCTCTCATTCTGCATCGCCTCTTGACTCAACTCGGCCAAACGCATTTCTGTGGATTGAAGTTCCTTGCGACATTCATAGAGCTGAAGTTCGCATGTCACCCACTTTTGCATAAGTGCCGCAATGTGACTCGTTGCGTTCATGTGCAAATATGTAAAAAGAGGATTATTTAAAAACCGCTGCTTGATAAATTCGCATTGTGTCTCATCTAATCGAGACGCATCGGCTTCTGAGAGATTTTCATCAAAAGAATCAGAGCATAAAACTCGTCGCATGTGGTCCCACTCGTCTTCGGTTTTTTCCACTAGCAATTCTATACGGAGAAGTGAAAATGCCGCATTCACCGCCAATCGCAACTCATTTGGGGGTCTTGTCATCTGCCGCAGCACATTCCGCTCACCTCGAACGGCCAACCGTAGCGTTTCCCGAGCGGTTTCGGCAATCCTTTCGGCTTCCATAACCTTCTCCATGCACGGCCGTCGTGAAAGTTCGGCCTTTTCTTCCTCAATTTCCTCCATTCTTCGACGGACATCAATTTGTTCATGATCCTCATGTTTGCTCGCCCAAGTCGGGGGATCGCCTTGTGTATCGGGTGCAATTTTCCAGCACGCCAGGGAAACGAGAATGGGATCCTCACTCACGGTGCTGTTACGGTCAACATGTCCGATGGTATCGTCACTGCCATCTCCAGATGCAATAACCGTGCCAATAGACCAAGTCCATCTTCCGTCTTCTGAGACAAATTCATATCCGACCACGTCGCCCAACGCCAGGCATGAAGCACTATCTATGCGCTCCACGCGAAAGGATGCATCATCATTGATGGCTCTTTTATCATTTCCAAATAACCCAGAAAAGAATCTTTTTTCACCGCCACTGCCACCGCCGGAACCTTTACTTAGGGTTTCGTGTGCATCACGACTCCAGGAAGGCGAACTCGCCCCTAAACCGCGCGTCTCCTTCTTCGTCCAGCCGTATTCTTGTCTGCGATTCCGTAATGCGGCGTGGATGCTGGCTGGACTGTGGTAAGCGTCCTGTTTCATTCCGCCAGATTGCAATTGTCTCCTTTGCTTCACTCTCCTTGCTTTGATGGGATTTTGCCACAAATATTTATTCCCAGACACCCACCTGCGAGGGACACGGAAAGAATAGCAAAAAAAGCAAAAGAGATTGGGGTGATAGAAATATCATTCGTCTTCTTATGCCCGCATGCATGTATCCAAAGCAAATAAACAAACAAACAAACCTGAGAAGCAAAAAGTACACACATACAGACACACGTATATATATATATATATATATATATATAGACAGCCAAAAAAAAAAAAATACAGAGTATCACAACCACTCTCTATGTCATTAGTCCCCTAACGTGTGGGTAGTGGGGGGCAAGGGCTCACTCGTACAATGATAACGAGGACAGCAACTCGGGCCCCACCCCCCAATAATAATTTTCTTTTTTTGTTCTTCACGCACTAATTCCTTCGGTTGTTACAGAAGAAAAAAATGACAGGAGGGGGCACTCCACAAAAAATAAAAACAAAAACGCAAATAGATAAATACATATATCTTCTATGAAAGAGCCTCTCATCCACAACAGTGAAAAATAAAATAAAATAAAATAAAAAATAAAAAATAAAAATTTCCCAGTCCAAAAAGAGAAGATACAAGCACATATGTATATATGAATGTATGTATGTGTAATTGGTGTAACGGCACGTCTCACTAAAAGTAGGCGCTTGGTACTGTTGCTGTTTTTGTTAAGTTTGTCGTTGGTTTTTCCATAAATGAAGCTGTATTGGCTGTGGAGTTCGCATTGTCTCCACCATCATTAAAAAAACTTTTTGTGACGAACGCTTGATTCCTCGAATTCAACGCAACATTGACGGCCGTAGTATCCAAAGGATGACGCGTGCTTTTACCGTTTACCATTTGACTCCCGGACGTGGTAGGCAATTTTGCCAAACTATTAACAGAGAAACCTTCCGCCTCCGTCTCAAAATTATTTGCCGTTTTGTTGTTCACCGGATGTGGAAGATCATGTGAAGCCTTACTCAAATTTTTCGTTTCACCCACCAATGCTCCTTGAGGATTGCTGGCATTTCCATTTACTCCACGCTGGGAATGTACTTCTGGCAAACTAGAAGCATCCGTATACCCGTGAGATGGTAACCAACCCGCATTTCTTACGGTTGTGATGGCATTCTTATTAAGCTCGTGATAAATGTCATGTGAAGTGGACCCAAAACCGTTAATCGTTCCTACGCCAAGAGCACTGTTGACGTTATTCCCGGTGTTGTTGTTAGACATTATTGACCAGTGTCGTCCATTTATACTGGTGCTTCTCTGAAGATGGATGAGGGCATCTTGACTCTGCTTCAACTCCTGTGCAAGTTTCTCACGTGCAGCATCCGTCTTCTCTAACTGATCGCGAAGTTCGGTGTTTTTATTCAGAAGTACTCGCCCACGTTCTGCTGAAGATGCTAACTCATCTCTCAGTCGGGCAATAGCGTCCACCTTTTCTTGCAGTAG